TTAGCAAAAGGAAATACTGTCGCTATAAGTCCAAATCCGGTCGTTAAAGGTCTATAACGACCGATCAAAAATTGGTCGTCATCGGTCGTTAAAAGCTCTGTCGTTAAAGGTTAACAACTGGATTGCATGTCCAGTCGTGAAATATTATTTAACGACACTAATTAATCCTGTCGTTACACATGCTTACAACGACCAAATTCCCCTTCGTTGATGGTCATTTGGTCGTTAGAACCTTCAAGTAAAACAACAAATTAGAGGGGTTATAACTAATTTAAGCGGCAAGAATTCCTGTCGTTGATTACAATACTTTTTAACAATCAAATTTTCTATCACAAATTTTGATTTAAATTATTACATCTAATTTATAGTTTTTATTTTTTCCATCATTTCTAAAAAGAACTAATATGATCTGTTCATATAAACTTTTTTCACATCCAATTGAAAATTTGATATAAATTTGTATTGTTAATAATAAAGAACAGACTGATTTAATCAGTTAAAATTTATATGTTCGACACAATATCTAAAAAAAAAGCATACACGTTCAACATAATAAAACATGTGTTCGACATCTATAAAATCCTAGAAATTAAGAAAATGACATTATAGAATAACTACAGAAAACGTCTTTGCACCAACAATAAAAATATAATATTCTTTTCTTCATGCTCCACATTATCTTTCACATGATATTGTTCTTTAATCATCAAAATGTTCATCTGTCAAAACAACAATTTGAAGTAAATTAATTAGTAACGGAAAAAAGTTGAACTTAAGAATTAATTCTCTTAAATAGTTCCTGATCTATTTTCTGATGTATACAACTAGAAACAGATTTAAAGTTCTAGTTCATGAATTCTAGATAATTTCTCTACCCAGCCTTCTACATTGAGGATCTCCACTGTCAGCGAGCAAGAGTTGTATTACTTTCACATTAACATCTCATACAAAGGGTGGTTGATGCTTCCTAATTAAATATTTATCCAAGTATATGCTTCCTCATACCCCACCTCTTTCACAACACCTGGGCCTCTTTCCAGTGTAATGGAAGGGAAGAGAGATTAAAATGGACAGACATGAACACAACACATATTAAAGTGCTTCAACAAAGAGAATGTAAATAGACTAACATCAAATAAAGAAGACTAGAAATCCTAGTCCTAGTACTAGTACTGAAAGTTGAAGGAAAGAAAACATAGATAAGTTGTTGAAATGGAGAATGCAAGTGGATCATATGAAACGAGCTTGCAGCTGGCTGACTAGGAGGAAGTTAGAAAAACTTAAACATCTAATTACCACAGTGGAGAATGACACAGACATGATCAAATATATTTAAAGTTGCGGGGCAACAGAGAAAGGGTAATGTGGAAGTGTGTGATGTTTGAGATTAACTACTAATACTACAATAATAAAGCGCAAATTATATTGACAGTGATATTATAGAGGACAAGGTCATACAAGGACCTAATCAGAGGAGGGATCTTGATTTTCTACCAACAACTATATACAGAACAATAACCATATTGATACCTACTTTTACATTTGAAGATGTTATAACAATATCATTGGTATATATAGAAATGAACATAAAATCAATCTTTTAGCTTTGTGGATATTATAACCAAAGTGACATTGATTTTAGTTATATACAAAAATGCTAGAGTGAGAATGCCAGAATATACAGAATATTTAAGATAACGCAATGCACTAAAGGAAAACAGGTAACTCATAGCACAACTANNAGAATATTTAAGATAACGCAATGCACTAAAGGAAAACAGATAACCCATAGCACAACTGCAATAACAAATCCCTTATCAATGAGGAGCAACATCACTTCATTCACACACAAATACACATAATGTAATAATAACTAATAGAATGTTTACTAACCTGATGGAATTGATGGAACTGATGAAGACTGACGGATCACTATATTTTCAAGGTGTTCATACTTACTCTCTAGAATATCCATGCGTTTTTGTAGTGATTCCTTTTCTTTTCGAGTTGTTTTCAGCTCTTACCACAATGCAGCCTTTGAGGTGATTCATATTTACTCTCTAGAATATCCATGCATTTTTGTAGTGATTCCTGTTCTTTTCGAGTTGTTTTCAGCTCTTCCCACAATGCAACCTTTGAGGTGGTACCGCTTTTAACTCATTAGTTGTTATTCCACCACCAAATCCAACTACGTGACTTTTGTATTGAGGTCCAAAGCACCTTTCCACTACCTCAATATTAGTAAGAGATGGTTCAGATTGTACAAGCTCGTGAATTTTAGCCTATAAAACATAAGAATATTTAAAATAACGCAATGAACTATGTAAGAGTAAGGATGTTAAATGAAATTAAAATTGATATAATCATACATATTTTTCAACGATTTCAGGTTCGACAAGCTCATCTCCCTTCTTACGTGTCTCAAATAAAATAATTGCCAAGTTTGGTCGATTACCATCTCTGCCTCCCTTCACGATTAAAAAATAAGTCATAAGATATTTTATAGAAATAGGAGAGGTTTCTTTATAGGGTTGCACAATTTATTTAACTTTTCGTAAACAATCTCTCTTACAGGCCTGCTACCCGTACGATGAGGCATACACAATTTAGACCCATTGAATGACTTTCTTGTACTTGCTTCCTGCATTAACACAACACTGAAATTATCACAATCTTGTTTAATGATTCTATATTTAATGTGTACGTTTAAGCTCTGTGGGAAGAGGGTAAAAGAGAACAGAAGCACTAAAAAACACCATTGCAATTTTCTTTGGTAGATCTTGTGGATAGAAGACATCAAAACAATTTATCGAAATCAAAACTCAATTTGAACGTGGTATAAATTATTCCAAAAACTAATCATATGTGACTAGAAATAAAATGATATTTGTTAATAACTAAATGAAGTCTTACCTTAAATTTCTCAGATAAAAAATGTTCCTTGACCAACCATTCCCAATCACTCTTGTCTACTCCCATCGGCACATCTTTAAGAACCTCGTGCAATGATTTAGATTTCACATTCTTGTGCAATGATCCTCTCCAGTTATTCCAAAGCTTTCTCATATGTTGCAAAATATTATCTCTTTGATCATTCATGTCATCACTGTCAAACTTCTCCTAAAATAGAAAAAATACCATCAAAATCTCTGGAATAAGGGAAAATAAGGCATCAAAGTATAGATCACCTAATAGGGCAATAACCTAGAAATTTTAGGAACAGAAATCAAAATTTCAAATAAATAACAACCACAAGTTGTCTGTTTAAAACCTATAGCTTCCTCACATCACTATTGTATAGTGTTTGAAATAGTGTTAATAGTAAAATAGAAACACATGCGAGTGGACTGAAGCATGATGTGAAGGACATAAACTACTATAATAGAATCCTAGCAATCTTATCTTGCTGGGAGAAGAAATTGAACTTAGCATAAATTTTAGGAGATCACTAAGCTTAGCTAGTTCAATTTTATTATAGAGAAGTAAAGCCACAAGGATTTGACTAGGTAATGACTGTACACGTTTATTTTTTCCTGTATAATCAAACAAAGCTATAACACAAATTCAAGGTTGGGAAAGGACAAATACATCATGATCAGGAGAGATAATAGCTGAAGTTTTTGTTAGTTATTTCTAGTCTATGTTAGTTGATTCAATAGTAACTTCTGCTTCTTGAAAAAGGGTGTCATCGTCTTCCATTGGATAAATATTATGAGGCACAAGGATACTAGTCTTTGCTGGCTTATTTCGACTAGAAGTTGTTGTAGTACTTCTATTTTTGTCAATCAGAGTCGGTTTTTCAACATTAATCCCTAAGCTTTGTCCTCGAGCCCTTGCACCACTGGTCAAAGTGTATTGATTCATTTCAGCTCCTTGACGGAAGGGAGCATTGTCTTCCTTTTCATCAAAACAAGGATGCACATGGAAACTATTGTCTGCTAGCTTATTCAACTTAGAAGTTGTGGCATTGTAACTTCTATTTTTGGAAATCGAAGTCCTTTGTTCAGCATTAACTCTTGTAGTGCTCATAACTTTCAAACTTTGACCTAGTCCCTTTGCTAAGGCACCAGGCTGAATGAGTCCATGCTTGGGAATTTTTGAATCTTGTCCCATTTCATACTTCAGAGTTTTTGAGGGATTCATGTCAACCTAATACAAAATAATAATAATAATCAAAAGATCAAATAGGTAAGGAAGTTTTTCATAAGATGAAATATGAATAATAATAATAATAATAATAATCAAAAGATCAAATAGGTAAAGGAGTTTTTCATAAGATGAAATATGAACTGAAAAAGCATTTAGAAAAAGACACATGTACATGTAACACAGGTTCCTCGCATGAAACCATTACTACTTTAGTAAAATCAAGGTAACATTAAAGACCAAGATCATTAAACAAATTTTCACAGAAAATACTATAAAGAATCATTACCATAAGAAATTAATAAAGTAAAAGCAAGCATGATAAAGCTGCAAACCTTAATGAGTTCGTTTTCTTTTCATTTGTGTAGAGTTATCTAACTCTTCTAAGTCATCATCCTTTTTTCCCAAGATATCAAAAGAATCACGAGGTTGAACATTTTGCACTATATGCCAACCTTTATTCGAATAATCGATAACATAAAATACTTGTGATGCTTGGCTGGCTAATACAAATGGCTCATTTATTTTCAAACATCGCCGACGATTAACATTTACAAAGCCATATTCATCCATTTTAACTCCCCTCTTCTAATCATACACATCGAACCATGTACATCGGAATAAAATCACTTCTTCTCTCCCCAACAAAATTGTAATTCAAAAACCTCGGTTAACTCGCCATAGTAATTCATATGTTTTTGCTCTTCACCGGTCTCTCCTACTACAACTACCCCACAATTCTGAGTTTTCAAATATTTATCATACTCTTGAACATGAAACCTATATCCATTAAAAATATGGCCTTTGAATCTTGTCACATATGGCAGAGGACCACGCGATAACGATAGCAAATTTGCCATTCTCTTACTATCATCATGTTTGTACAACTCTGCAACCTAACAACAACAAATACCCTTTTAGAAAACAATATTTACATACTTGATTTAAGAAAATTGATTAATTTCTACTCACCTTCTTTTGTAACCAACTAATGAATTGTCTATTCCACTCCACATCTGAACTTTGTTGAGAGGCCTCACTATGAATTTGTGAAAATTCTCTACAATGAATTGAAGTTCGACATGTTATTTTATGTTGAAATATGGACAAGATAGAAGTAAATTACTAGATTTAATCAATACTTACTCGAGAAATGGTTGAATTTCATCACAGTTCTTCAAAATATAAAAATGTGCCTCCTCCAAATCATGTGAATCAAGTTTGTCTGGTGAACTACCATTTAAACTTTTTCTAGGCTCACAAATAATGGTTAAACCACCATCAGATTCAATTACCCCATCATCATAATTTCTCTCTGGACAATTAAACTTTGTCTTTTTATATTCAAATACCTTGAACATAATGTCATACATTCAACTGCTAAATATCACTCAACAATAGAACATTCAGGGTGAGCAATATTACCAATAAAACACTTCAAAAAGTGTAGGTATCTCTCTATTGGATATATCCATCGATATTGAACTGGTCCAGCAATCCTAGCTTCATTAGGTAAATGAATAGACAAGTGCACCTTGACATGAAAAAAAAGAAGCAGGAGGGAACACATTTTCTAACTTGCATAGTGTTTTGGTATTTGGGCTTCTATTTGTTCCAACTCCTCTATGCTCAAACATTTTTCTCCAAGAACTTTCAAAAAAATAGACAACTCAATAAGTGGTTCAAACACAAATTTGTAAAGCATACCACGCATGGCAAGTGGGAGTAAATGTTGTAGAATTATATGACAGTCATGGCTTTTTAATCTGGAATTTTTTTTATCCTTAAGGTTGACACATTGAGAAATATTTGAGGAAAATCCATCTGGGACCTTTAGATTCTTCAAAAAATTGAAAAATGTTTGCTTCTCTTCAACAGATAATGTGTAAGATGATGCCGGCAACTCATATTCATCTCCATTTTGTATTGGATGCAATTCTTTTCGTATATTCATTTCTTGTAAATCCAACCGAGTACTCAATGTGTCTTTCATTTTCCCTTTGATATCTAAAATTGTCCCCAAAATATTGTCACATATATTCTTCTCAATGTGCATCACATCAAGATTATGTCCCAACAATAAGGTTTTCCAACGTGGAAGATCAAACAATATACTCTTCTTATACCAGTTAACACCCCTTTTCTTATGCGATATTTTAATCTTTTTTCGTGGATCCTTTGTTAATGGCAACCCATCTAAATCAGCAACTTGATCAAGTATATCATCACCAGAAAACATTTCTGGTGGTAGCCTATGCTCAACAGTGTTATCAAATGACACTTTATCATTTCTCCATTTGTGATTAAGAGGAAGATAGCGTTTGTGGCCCATATAACACTCTTTTTAGCCATTGTTTAGCCTTGTAGAGCAAGTTTTTTTATTGCAACATGCGTAAGCCAATTTTCCTTTTGTACTCCATCCAGAAAAATTGGCATAAGCTGGAAAGTCATTAATAGTCCACAACAAAGATGCATGTAACTTAAAATTCTTTCTAGTTGATGCATGGAATGTCTCCACTCCAGTTTCCCATAATTCATTCAACTCCTCTGTTAAAGGTTGTAGATAGGCATCAATTGCATCACCAGGACCATTAGGATCAGATATAAGGATTGACAAAATAAAATTCTCTTGCTTCATGCAAAGCCAAGGGGGTAAATTATAAGGAACAAGTACCACATGCCAAATGTTGTAGGGAGTTCTCGACATTCCAAATGGTTGGAACCCATCACTAGCAAGTCCAAGTCGTACATTACGAGGTTCAACTGCAAAAGATGGGTGGAGTTCATCAAATTTTTTCCATGTCATTAAATCAGTTGGATGCCTCATTATTCCATTATCAACTCTTTTGTCATGATGCCATGACATCAAAGGAGATATCTTTGAGCACATAAATAATCTTTGAAGTCTTGGCTTTAGAGGAAAATAACGTAAAATTTTGCATGGTATCTTTTTTCCTTTTTTCAATTTTGTTCCCCCACTATGTTTAGCATCCTTCCATCTAGATGCACCACAAACTTTGCACGATTGAACACAATTATCATCCTTCCAATACAACATGCAATCATTCTTACATGCATCAATCTTCTTACAAGAAAGCCCAAGATCTCGAATTACCTTCTTTGCCTCATAATATGAATCCGACAAGTTTGTTCCATCAAGCAATAAATCATCTTTCAAAAAATTTAATAGCATTGTAAATGACTCATTACTCCAATGACCAATACTTTTAAGGTGAAGCAATTTAATCAAAGTAGAAAGTTTAGAAACTTTTGCACTTTCATAAAATGGTAGATCAAGATCTTTTAATAACCTATAAAATCTTTTTGCTTCAGCATTTGGTTCCTCCTCCCGAAGATCATCACCAATACTATTATTCATATTATCTGCATCAAAGTCAGGGTACAAATCTCTTAGCAACCCATGTATTTCATCCTCATCGTTATCCTCTTCAATGTCATTATCATCTATAAATTCAAAATCTGATTGTGCTTCACCTGACATCTCCCCATGGTAATACCAAAGAGTATAACTTGGTATTATCCCATGTACTATTAAATGTGACCTAACTACAACACGTGTTCTTGAAGTTGCATTACCACATTTAATACATGGAAAACGAATCAACATTGGTTCTCCTAATTTTGTAAAAGTATAATCCAAGAAATTCTCTACCCCATCTATATAAGCATTAGCAAGTCTATCGTTAATAAGTTCCATCCATTGCTTATTAGGTGCCATAATCTTCATGCATGTAAAATAGATATAACACTACTTTAGTATAACAACCAGGTAGTCAAAAGATGGTAAAAAAAGGTTACAAAAATTTGAATAGTCAAATTCCATGACAAAAATCTAGCAATTCAAGAAAATTGAACATATAAATAGTAAAAGACCAAATATTTCAAAATAATAACTTTTGAATGTACATTCTAAACATCAATAATATGATTAGTTATTTATAAAAATCTTGTGTAAATGATGTTATTTCCCCAATAGACATCATTAGCTCCCTTTTATTAGTTAAACAACTTTGATTTTTAGCTATAAGTTTTAACTCCCAGATATCAATTATTTTTTTGGCAATTCTGAAGTTATCAACTATTTTCTTTGTGGCTAACTTGCATCTCCATAACTTTTAATACAACCTCTTACTTCTTAAAAAGCGTTAGAAACTATAATTTAAATCTAATTATGGTTACACTTTTTCTTGAATGTATGGAAGAACAAACTTTGCTGATTATTTTAAAGCAAATGAGGGAATCAAATGGTGATTACATGAGAAAAATACCAAGATCTGCTTGCAACTAAACTCCAAAACAGTGAATAAGATATTGACAACATATGTTATTTATTTAAAATTAAAGCTCAAAAGTCCACAGTTCAATTGAAATTCTTGAAAAGTTGGAAAACTCATCAAGATAATCTGGTCTATAGTCTCTACATTTATGGTTAGGAACTGAATATATAAAGTAGGTTCACAACAAATTTATAAAATTACAAACAAAGGTTAGATAAGTCCTATAATCTGATCCCATTATATTTATAGAAGAGTATGTAAAGACTAAAGAAAATGGTGAAATATTTATATTTTTCAGTTTCTAGCATTTAAATTTTCTTACATGTCACGCCTCAGATCTGATTAAGACGGACAGGCACCCGATGTCTAAATGGCCCGGGAGAACCAACTTACAACCTGCATTTACCATACATTTAACTATGATAGCTATGAAGCTATGACAAGCTTATATGCCCTGTAGCGATAAAAGACCGACATAGACAGGCCCAAAACTTATGTACAACACTTGGCCGTTGAGGCCACAATTGTTAAGAGACAAGACACAACCAAACTTTATACATTAGTCTACAAAGCCTCTACAAGATAGACAACCTTAGTTTAGGTCGGGACAAGGCCCCGCCTTACCCTTAACTACTATACGGTAACAAAGTAGATGCCAAAGACTCGATTAAGCCCCGAATCAACTTGGAGCTCACCAATAGCAGCTGAGTGTCCTGTGCTCCTACTGGGGAGGTCTACTAGCTGGAGTACTTGTAGCTGCAACATGAAATGCAGGGTCCCCCGCGAGGGACGTCCGTACAGGAGAATGTACTGAATATGTAAGGCAATAACATATGTAAGCAAGAGCTCAATTGAAATCAAGTATCAATATGTAACTGCATAGATTAGATTAAAGACCACCCTTGTTGCTGTTGTGGGATCATGTACATTATATTCTTTTCTGAAATTTTCTTTACATTGCGATCTCTGTAAAGCATGTGATACAAATAACCAACTGATCAGTGGTAAAAGAGGATGACCCATGCTAGGCATTTTAACCCCTGAGATGCTGTCCTCAAATATATAAATTTGGGATCGACCCATGCTAGGCTTTTGCCCCTGGGCTGCCACCCTTACACATATACCTCTTCATATAGTTTCTTTAATCTTTGAGATTGTTATTTTGGTGGTCATAATTATTTTTTTGAGCATCAGAACTGTGGATCAGTAGTAGGAAACATATGAATATGCACTTAGGGCAGTAACAATAACACAAGATGGAAATGTAACACTAATGAATTACATAAGAGCTCAAATGACACAATGGACCTCATTTGATTGACAGGAAGAATCACAAAACTACTACTGAAATTACGCTTTTCTCATACCAATACTTGGAAAAGTAAAGATGCACATATATTGAAGCAATTCGACATACTAAGGAGAGGGGAACTATTGTTAGCTGTGTTTGGGATTGTACGCTGCCACTATGTGTCTTTTACTTGAAAGAACACTTAGGAAGCTCACTTGTTGGTAGTGACACAGGCAGAGTTCATGCAAAAGAATATAGAATCGAATAGCCTTACATACCTTGCTGTACCACTCAGATAGTACAACGAATTAACCTCCTTCCTTTCCAATCATTAATCTACAATGAAACAAGTAACACAACTAATATTAGTAGCTAACCAACAGATTGGGCTACTTGCACTTGGCAAACAGTAATCAGGCAGCAAACCCATACTTATCAAACCGATGGTATGCATTCCACCCCTTCTCCTTTAATAACGTCATATACAATACGACCTTCTAATAAGGTCCCCTGAAACTTCTCGGTCTTTATAACATATGCATAACAGTGTACAAAAAGGGTTGCAGCCAGCAAGCTCATGCAACGCCCAATTAA